GCATACAAGACAGTCAAGGTCTCCCGGGAGGAAGCATATGCTCCACAGAGTACTCACCCTACACCTACATCTAACAAGTATCCGAAGATGGAGTAACTCCCCCTCCCTGCAAAACTCTGCAGGGTCAAACAGCAAACAATCATATCGGGGAGAAATCATATCTTCTCTTGTTCCGCTGCTGCGGCGGTTAGGCGGTTGGCTAAAACGCGCTACACAATGATTGGGAAAAATAAATACGAACACAGAAAGGCCACGGGTTCGAGATACAACAACAGTCGAACGAAATGTGTCGGAGTCATTGCAATTCGTGGAGGGAAACCGGCTGCTGCAGGGGAGTGCGGTCATGCGGCGGAGTTGCAGCGAATGCGGCGGAATTACGGCCGTTTCGAAACTCCACTGCTGCTTTATGTATGTAGGTGGTTGTGCCATGTCGTGGCGTGCCGCATTGTGAAGATGAACAGCATATCCACTATGCTACAAGTCAGCATGAAAACATATCCACTATGCTTGTAGCAGCGTGGATATGCTGTACACAGCTTAACGAAAGTGCAACCGGGGTCCTTCAGCCAAACCTGTTCGACCTCGGTAAACCCCAGGGTTGTAGTCTAATCCTTGTAATCAGCGCTGCCCCATGCGGTTCATCGACTTACAGGCGGGAATATGTGTCTTCACTTGGACGACAGGAATGTATACTGTCTCTCAGGCGTATCCCAGACTTTTCCGAAAAAAAGGCGTCACAAGTGGTCCACGAAGGATTCGAACCCCGGTGGTACTTTTGTTAAAATATACAGCACATACATCCACGCTGCTACAAGTCAGCGCTGACTTGTAAGAGGGCGCATATGCTGTAGACTACATCTTAACACGCATAACCCCAGAAAAACATTGCTGCAACAGGTGTGTTTGAGACTTTGATTGGCTTATGTCCGACGTCTACATAAATAAGCGCTATACATCGGCATCCTTATCGCTTCTTGTGCTTTCGGCTTCCGACTTTTCCGGGCGCCTGCTACCACGTGTCTGATGGTGATGGTGAAGATCGACCTTTGCTCGCAAGATGCATCAAAAGTGTGTGTGTTTCTTTATTATTAGCATCGACCGCGCTGACCGGCTGACCGATGAAAAGACGTCAGTCTCAGTGCGGTTGAAAACACAAAACACTTTATCTGCCATGAACTGGGACCCCGTGAAGGGGCAGCATGGGTGTACTCATCGTCGTGCATGCCGTAGTCGTTAGACCTTTGACCTCGCATCCCTACAAAGCCGGGACGGAGCACGCCGGGTTCTCACCGGACCAAGCTCTCACATCACCAAGCGCGAAGCGCCGTGGGATATTCGGCGAGTCCCATGAAGGGTGCGCTGCATCCTGCTAAGGGTGTTCCGCATCTTGTGCTTACTTCCTTGTATACGGATGACAGCTGCGTATGACTTAATTTGATTTCTGGTGCTTTCACTTCCAGAGACAGTTGTCGCACTGCGTGACTGCCTCGAGGGTGCTTGACCAATTTAGCACAACGTGGTGCGATCATCTCCTCTGTGCAGAGTGAGGGTTCTCGACCCCGCACAACATAATCTACTCGACCACCATTCATGTTCACCGCAAAAAAAAAAAAAACGAACGCAAAAAAAAAGCGGTAGCTCCATGGGAAATGGAAAAACGCGAGAGGTTGTAGTCTTATGTGCGCCGTCAACGTGTTGGCCTCATCGAACTCTTCGGCCTTGTTTGACTACTCAGATACGGCCATCCAGACGCGCTCGACTTGCTGATGATTCCAACGACGGTAATAATCACCTTCGCCTAAATCATCCTAAGCCGGTATCATCCCTGGGCGCGGTACATAATCCAAGAGATAAGAGCAGCAACGATCTTGGCGGGGGCTTCCGTTGTGCTGGAGGCCCTTCCTTGGTTTTCGTACCCAAGTTTTGACTCACCAGGTGTGAGCGGTGTAGGAATCCGCGTGAAGACCTCAAACTCGTTCCGTTGTGGTTCGTCTTCTTGAAACGCTCAATTATTGAGTAGCTTAGGAATATGATTTCTTGTAAGGAACAAGCGGCGCCGGCTCGTGGTGAACCCGTCGATGTCAGATCAGCGGCGTTGGTCATTCCGAGACGAAGAAACGACGTCTTGTTCTTCCGGCATTGTGCATGGGCTATCTCTCATTTGACAGCGTAGCCAAAATGTACCGAAGCTGGCTGCTTTGGATGCGATGACGGTCTGCGGGGTTTCCGCCATGCTGTATGGCAAACTGACAAAAGGCTCGGGACATATTTGATATTTCGGTGGAGGTCGAAACAGTCGGGAAACTTGCCGTCACAGCTGTAGGTGAGAACCAGATTGTTGCTGTTGCTGCTGCTGAAGCTGCCGATGCGGCGGACAAAAAAATAATCAACGGCTTGTTGCTCAGTAAGCTCGTCACGGCCCCACGGTGTAGAACGTCAGGCGGGCTTACTTTGGGCTCAGTCTGGACTGTGCTCAAATCGATTTGATGGCAGATGAAATTGTAATCATTGGGCTGACTTGATTCATATTGCTATATTTCGGCCCTGCAACCAGTGCAAAACGTTACATCTGGCGTTGCGTTGCTTGCGTGGGGCTATTCAGCCACCCCCTGAAGAACCAGGCGGCTTCAAAGTTCCATGTCGTTCGATGGAGTTTTGATTGATTGTTTTCAAAACTTACTCATGGCACTGTAATACTGCGCGTGTCTGATTGATCCTTTGATGTCGAAAAGAGGCCGAGCAATCGTAAAGAAATGCACACATGGTATTCGATATATATATCCGAGTCTCGACAAGTAGCAGCTTGCCCGATTTTCGCACGTTGTTGGACTCGAGGAAAGGGACCGTCGGGTGGGGATCAAGCCTCGTTGAACAATTCAGAGGGCGCAAGGGTCGCTATGCTTCGCTATGCTTCGCT